GTTACATAGAGTCTGCATTGATCAATAAAATCACTTGTACTAGGAAAGTACTGTTAAACACTGACAATCCTAGCCATTAATATTATTTAACACACTGTTCACAATCTTTAATGAGGATAAAGAACATTTTGTCTCTTTACACTTATCATACTGCCCCTTTCCAGAGACCCTTATAAACACAGCACAACGGTGATTATTCAAAACTAATCAGGATTGCAGAAGGAAAAGGACACTGAATAATTTCTTGTAGGTTTTTGGTGTGATTAATAGACTTTCTTAGTGGCACCCTTTAAAAATAGATAACATGGAACTTAAAGAAATTTGCATTTATGCTATCCAAGATGAACTTCTATTCATTAACACTCATCAGCAAGCCCAGTTCCATATTCCAAATACTTATATATCAAGGTGATGAATCCATTTGGTTTGTTAAAACATTAATTTTTCTCAGAAACAAAATCAGAAAAGCAAGGAGAAAGTAATCAGTTAAAAAGAAACTCCAAGGATTCCAATTCTGAACAGATATCCCTAAATACAGAAGTTTTGAAAATGTACACATCTGCTGATTTAAGACAGATTTAGGCTTGGGAAAAGTAAACACACAAACATAGAACAGATTACAGCTGGGTTCAGACAACATGGTAACCCAACCCATGGGCTAAGTGTGGGTTGTCACTGATCATTGGTTTGTTGGGTAATCAAGTTGCCTGAATCCAGCTGCACTAACAAGCCATGGTTTCTTAACACAAGCAATCCATGAAGCAATGGCTTGTTGTTGAGTTGTGAACTGTGGTTATTACCTTGGTTTATTATGTTAGCTGGGTTTGGACATTATAATGAAACTCATTTCAACAAACGAGCTCAATGACAAGCCACACTCAGTCCCCAAGTCTGGATTATCATGTTGCTGAACTCAGTCACAGACTTTCCAAAATAGAAATCATGGGAAGATGGTGAAGTGACTTAAGGAAAGGAATGCTGGCTTGAGGGTTCTGTAACCCTGTTGTCATAGCCAGATAATTTCTTGGAATTGACTTGAAAAACCACATGTGTAGTGGATATGAAATGGAAGATTTGGATGACACAATCTGGCTTCAAATACATAACTGGCCATAAAGCTCACTGAGTGTCCTTGAGCAAGTCATGAGTTAGCTTGATGTAAGTAAATCTCTGTGTATAGAAGCAAAATCTTGGAGTCATGTATCCTTCCCCACATTCTTACCATCCTCCTACATGGCCAGAAGGAGGCTTTACCTGGGATTAAGTTTCAGTTTTGTAGTTTATTGGTACATAGAGTAGGAATTGAGGCTTAACTCCTGGGGTTTCATCTTTCCATGCCTGCTGCTTCTGTTGAAGCCATGGTCTCATTATGGAATGGTGAGATGGGGAGGGTTATTGACCCAATTACTCACAAGCACCCTCGCCTATGTTATAGAGCTCCTTCATTTTCCAAACTGGTGTGGATTATGAAGCAGGCAGGATGCCTGGGAACAACCAACACAATGTCTAGAGCATTCTGCACAAATAAAATGGTCAGCAGGAGTGGCTACCCCACTGCTCCTAACACCAGGGACAAATAGGAGACTAAAGAAATATAGTGAAACTGAACTGAAATCTCCCTCTTAGCATCTAAATTCATAAAAGTCAGGCAATAGGCTGAAAATAAGTAATACATTAAAAATTCCAATATAACATTTAGAATTTATATGATTATCCTTTCTCTTATACACAGCTAGATGTTTCATATTCAAGCTGCAGTATACTTTTAGAAGCATTATAGGAAGAGAACATTAATGTTTCAATCAGGGAATGTCAGCTTTCTTCTCCTGACTCACAAAATCCCAGAATGTCTCCTCTGAGCAGAGTTTGACATGTTCCCCTGTCTGAGGAAGAACAGGAACGGCCTTTTGAGCCCATCCTTCCTTCTGCTATTCTGGAGGGTTCTCCAAATATCTGGAGAAGATTTTTAGGATGAAGAGCTCGTTTTAGAGAGATAGCTAATCAATGAAAGTGGCCTTATCCCTCCTTCCACCAGTAGGAATACTTTCCTAGATCAGAAGCCTCTAATGGGTGAACATTGGTTTGGAAAATGTTGGGTTCAGTTCATAATCTTGACTCAACATTAGTAAAGTTCTGGAAACAAAAACAAAAAAATCAGGCAGCTTTTAGGCAGTAATAAAAGCTTCCATCTTGGGTCTGTCTATTTAGCAAAATCTATAGGAGTGCAAGAAATAAGAAATTTTCTGTCTTGAAAATCTTATACAGCCAGGCAAAAGGCAAGAAATAGCAAATGTGGGGATGTAACAGGAAAAGTGTTAAAAAGTAGTTTTTGCTGGGGAATTTCATGGGGGAATCTGGAATTGACTGACAGAGCTTGACAGGTGTGTAAGAGACCATTTTTCCAGTCATAGTGGGCACCTTGACAGAAGCTTCACACATTAAAGAAAGGGGCAGGCATGACAACAAAGGTTCTAACTTGAATTCATATCATAATCATGGAGACCCAGTGTAGTATAGTGGTAAAGAGTGTGAGACTGGGACTTAGGAGATCTCAAGTCATGGAGCCAACTGGGTGACTTTGAGCGAGTCACCGACTCTCAGCCCAACCTACCTCACAGGGTTGTTGTATAAGGATACAATTGAGAGAAGAAAAAAATGTGTAAGCTGCTTTGAGTTCCTTGCAAGGAAAAAATGTAGGATATTAATATAATAAATAAATAATGAAATGTGGCATCTACCAATCACCAGAGCTCTTCTGACATAGCAATTTACTAATGATGTCCATCCACCAGCAGAACATACACTGCTGGCAGCCTGGATTCCCCCAGCCATGGCATTCCCTCAGATCTGCTCTGGAGCAGATGTGGGGACCATGCAGAGTGACAGAGAAGGAGGGGACAGGTTTGCATAATGTTTGTTTGTTTATACATGTATTTATAGGCCACCTATAACTTTTGAGGCCTTCCTAGGCGGCTTACAATACATAAAACATATTAACAAAATAAAACACTTTAAAACTAATTAAAACACAATGAATTAAAACATCTATGAAAACAATATAAAAAGGGCCACAGCATTCAGGCTGTGTTAAAACATTCCTAAAAAGGATGGAATATTGGATGGAATCCATAATGCAAAGGTAGCCAGCTAAGAATTTAGCTTCAGGTTACATGTGAATGTTTGTAAAAGAAGATTTCTTCTGAATTGCAAAACTGCATTGGGAACAAACAATTAAAAGCAGAGAAGTGGTGCAAGAGAGGGGTGCTTAACCTTATCAGTTGCTTCTCTTGCCTTTTTGATTTTACCCTCTACTTCACCCTCCTGCCAAGCCGCTTTCCCAAGTCTACAGGGTTTTATTATAGATATCCATATGCAATCTGATGTTAGACCTGTAGTGGAAAAAAAGTTAAGTTGGACTGTTAGATAGATATTCACTAACATAAGCAAACAGCTTATTTGTGCTCCACCATTTTAATCAGAAATTTGATTTTGATTTCTGTTCTTTTCTTCTTTTTAGAAAACAAACTTACAGGTCTAGCAGGGGTAGAACAGGAGAAATTGATTTTCTAGCTCTCCAACATCTGCATTTTAAATTATAGACTACATTTTCATAATACAACATAAAGTTCAGCTGTCTTTCAAAATGTAGTTGAACGACATTCTATACTAACATTTCTAAGATTACTAAGTTTTTTAATGAATTCAGTGAAGCTTCGCTTTCCTATTTACATGGAATCAAACTGATAATCTTCAAACATGGAAAAGATATTAGTAACATGAAGATTTGCATTAAATTTGACTGTTTGAATCATGACATATTTTTACTGTCTGATGACCATTTGTAGGGAATATTGTTCTTATCACTGAAAGAATGACCTTTTGTTGATTTCAGTTCCAGTAATTTAAATATGGGATATGGCGTACAGAAAAAAAGAGAAATAGCATAATTTCTTGTGTTCACTGACTGATAAAAGAGTTGACTCAAATGAAGCAGTACATTCAATTTAAAACAATATTCACTAGCAGTTCATTCAATCTGAAACAATATTGTTAGCCCTGTGCTAAGGACAGGATGCATCATTTTATTCTAATAACAGCAGCAGCATCCGTCATCATCGTCATCACCATATCTTTTCTTCAAGGGGCTTATGATAGTGTACATGGTTTTGTCCCAAACAGATTTAATCTTCAGAAAAAGCCCAGTGAGATAAGCTAAAGATACAGTGGTCAGCCTATCCTTCACAGTAAGCCAGAATTCCTATGTTTGTAATGAACAAACCAGTTTGCTCATGCATGTTACTTAATATGCCTTCTTGGTTCTTTCTGCTGACAAGTGTCGTGAAATAAACCAAGACGCCTCCGTGCATGGCTTTTGTAGTTTGTTTAGCATTATGTTTAAACCCGAGTTTGTTCTTGGATAAAGATGATAGCATGTTAGGAGAGCAACAAGATCCTGATTTGGATGTAACACCAAACAAACCACAGACAGTGGCTTCCTGGTTTATTTTGCAGCTTCCAGAGGCAGACAGAGCCAAATGGGAGAAACAGAGCAGAATTCCCAACAATTTTTGTTTACTATGGTGATCAACTGAGCTTCATGTTGACTGAGGTCTTGACCACAGGTTCCCCAATCCAGTATTCTAGCCACTACATCATAATTCTCAAAATTCTGATTCTCAAAATTTGTCATTCCCATGCAAAAAGAATATTATTTCTCTTTTAAGCAAATTAATTTACACTGTAAAACTTTCCCAAGTTTGACCATCGCTATATCCCAGATTTTACAGAAACAGTTGGACATTTTATTAAAAAGGTAGGACATAAACATCTTGTATAAGTATAAAATAAAACATGCTTGTTAAAATACTCACATTTGAAGCAAGAAGCTGATGTATTACCTATCCTTATGTAGAGGCCAAAAGCAGTCGATTCTCATCTTAAATTACTCATGTCGTTCTCAGAAACAGAACACTTTCCATGCATTGTTAAAAGCTGCTCACCTGTAAATAAACTTCTAAGCCATGCCGACGTTGTTCCAGAACTTTGGGCACCCAGTTTCTTACATGCTTTGAAGGGATTTCTGGTGTTCTTATGAATTTCTTAAGCTATAAAAATGTACAGAACAATATACTTCTCACCAATGTTTCTTTTAAGTCTTCAAGAGACTATACACAAACAACATAGATATATACAGCTGTATACAACTGTGTTATTACATTACCACCACTGATGTTGCGATAGCACAAGACAGGTTCTGATCTATGTGCAAAAGAAGAATCCAACTGATTTTTTTGTTTGCATAAGGGTACCTGTGCACATAATTGTACATTTTGTTTGTGCAACTGGCTGCTCATGAATCTTGTTCAACCCATTGTGCAATTCCTTGTGCAATAGATTGTGCAAGCTGTTGCATAAACAGTTGTGTAGGTATAATGGGCAACTGCTTGCACAACAAGATTACATGGAACTCTACTAGTGCTACCTGAGTTTGTGAAATGACATTGTTTGATAGTGCCCGTACTGCTATAAGTTAAAGAACAAAACACAGTAAAGAGAATATTGTTATTAAAAGAAACTTTTTGCCTCAAGTAAGTTGACCTTCAATTACAAACATCATTATGCCCAAATGGTGAAAAAATTTGAAATACATATACTTAATATGCTAAGCAATTCCTTAAGTCAGGAGCTAAACATTCTGGTATGTCAGCTAAACAGCATTATGCAGATTGGCCAATCTAAAGCTCTAATAAAATCCTCAGAATTTAGTTTAACAGAGATTTTAGCCTGAACTCTTGTGTATTATGTTGGGAAACAAACCTTTAAAATATATCAAATGCCCAAAATGCAATTGAGTTTAGTTCCTTTGCAGGATTAAGCTTTTGAAAAACAACAAATAATTGTGTAAGACTTAAAACATATAGTTCTAGTAGTTTTGTTCTGAACAGAAAAAGCAATCTACAAACACTAAATTTTAATACTTCACAGATAATGTATTTGGGGAAACAGCAAAGAATGGAATGAACTCAGCCATCACGACTGCAATAAAACCTAGAAAATGAAACAAAGCATTCTTATAACAAGCTGAGCATCTGTTCTGCTGTATTAGCACCCTATTACAGGTCCAGAAAAGAGTTCCAAATAAAATCATTGTAATTTTACATCCCTTGCATGCAGATGAATTAATAAATATATACTTGTAGCCATCTATTTTGATTCTTTCCTAGCTCCCAAACTCACATGACTGACTTCAAAAAGAAGTTGGGTAGAGAAAACTGTACCATGAGTAGGACAGAGTGTTCAAACAAATAAACAAATCCAATAAGCATACAGTATTATTTGAAAATGCATTCATCATATCCCCAGACCACAATCAATAGATTTAGGTGCAGGTGATACACAGCCCCTGTGCTTTTCTGAATGGAAATTTGATATGGTTCCTAAAATAAACAATGTATCACAGTAGAAGAGGATGGTGTAAATAACTGAAATCCACACCGCACTTATATTCTAACAAGTGCAGATTCATAACTGTACTATGAATTTCTTATAATGCAAATGTGTACAAGATTGATTTTGTAGATAAAAGAGTGTCTCACTCACAGAACTCTATTATTTAGTATCTGCAGGAGACACTCCTCTATGTGTCTCCTGACAGAGACCACAACTGACTGGGTCACAAAAGAGGACTTTCCCTGTGGCTGCACTCAGACTGTGAACTTGTATGCTGCTTCACCAAGACCTTCCTTTTCTAACAAAACTTTTCTCTTCTGAACTGAATGCTGCTCTTATCTGCTGTGTTCACTGTCAGTTTGCTTTTAATATATGTTTGTATGGATTGTTTTAATCTGATGCCAGCTACTCTGTCATGGTCTCTGACCCTTCCACCTCAGCAGCAGATGCTCCTGAGTTAATAGTTGAGGAATTGGTTACCAGAAGACATCATGACACTTCCATCTTTTTAGGATGGAGTTTTCCAAGAAGATTCTAGGAAGTTGCCTCTCCGCTTCTAAATGATTGCTGTCCTCAAATACCAAGGATTCCAGCCAAGGAGTACACCAGATGATCACAGCCTGACAGCCTGAGGCTGCTAAAATATACCAGACCTTTAAAGAGAAAAGGTCTTGGGGGTGGGGACAATCAGCCTCAAAGAAACCAAATCTCAACTTTAGCTCAGTCATTATCTGCTGTTTATTCGAACAGCATAACAGACAAGAGTATCTGGCTACAAGCACCACTGTGAGCTTTCCTAGAATAGTTTTTGTGTCCCTGAGAAACCTAACTTGCTCAGAACCTTGATAAAAGACCTGATCCACGATGGAATGCAAGGCTCACCAATGCTAAATCATGCTCACCCCTTACCAAGACAGGGTACATCTTGGACATTATTTTAACATAGAAGAGCAGGATGTATGTATTTTAAACAAAACACAGAAAAAGTCAACACATATAAACAGCTAGTAATGGACCCGGGAGACCAGGATAATGAGAAACATTCTGTATGGTCTCTTATCTGTACTAATAAAAGCAACAAGAACAATCACCTTCCTCTCAGGAGTGCTATGACATGACAGATAAATATTTGTAAAGCACTTTGCATGTAAAGCAAGCTCCATAATTTAGCAAATAAAAAGTCCCATATCATAAGTCCCATAAAACAAACAAGTATCAGGTGAAAGAAGCTGAAGCATATTAAAGGAAAAGGATGGCGGTAGAAGATAGCATCTGTAGCGGTTTTCATTATTATGCCATTCCACAGCTGAATCTCTTTGTGCAGTTTACAACAACAGTTCCCACTGCATCTATGGGCAGTCACATGGGTATGCTCTAAACATTGTATTAGCTCTAAATAAATGTGAGGTGAGAGGAAATCATATGAACAGAAATTCAAAACTGACTTTAACCCACATGTCCACAGGGATCAGTAATTTACATTATTTATTTATAAAATTTGCATGCCGTCCAATTACTAACGTCTCTGGATGGCTAACAGCATAAATAAATTGACAACTCACTCTGGCTGCAAATTAATAAAATACAGTAATAAAATTCTATATTAAAACATATTAAAATATTGATTGAATAAAAAGGTCTTAACCTGGCACCGAAAAACATATAATGATGGTGCCAGGAGGACCTCTCTGGGGAGCACATTCCACAGTCGGGGCGCCATCTCTAAATCTCAGCAAATGTCATCTGATCAAAAGCTGTGCCAAAAACAAATGTCTGTGGACATAAACCTTTAGGATCTGCAGTGTTCAGAAAAGAAACTACATTTTCTTCTAAGCACAAAATTACCCTGTGCCTAATTTCTCCAATTTGCTGTCATCCAGGTATGTATTTGACTACAACTTGCATCATCTCAACTCAGCAGAGCCAATGTTGGCTGGCAATGGTGCCAGTTACAGCACTACATATTGGGTTGATTGTGTATTAGGAAGGCTCTTCTAGGCGCTGACAAAAATCACTAAGCAAGAGCTGTTAAATCCTGGGCTACAATTTAGCAGGGCCAGAAAGACTAAAAGAGAATAACTGGAGCAACACAAAAAGCTAACCCAGCCTTCCTCCTGGAATTCTATAAACAGTTTTTGGAACCTCTGAGTTTCTATGGAGAGTTGAGGTGTTAAGGTACCTGGGCACTTTTTCACACCATACACACTGGTAAAAACTGTGAAAGTTGAGCATGCTTGCTTTTTTAAATGTTTAGCATATCACAGAGACACTGCTTAGTACATGTTCAGGAAGCAATTTCCAACAATGTATACTTCCTCCCACTTGGCCTTTCTTTTGAGATAGTCAGGAGTTAAGAATGGGATGCTATTTCTCAGAGGCACTTTCTCTACCTATTTGCTTGCCTGCCAGATGGAATTCCAATTATCTAGCAGCAGCAATGGCAGCAAGAAAGGTTATCAGAAAAAATGGATAGCAGGAAAAGAAAGAAAAGCTATGCTTCTGCCCACTTTTGCCTCTGGGCTTTGCCCACTGTCCCCTGATTTTGTCAGCAAGCCTTCCTTTAAAAAAGGCTCCAGATTCATACCCCTTGTCTTATGGGACTCTTTAAGACTACCTTTCCATTGCTGCAAAATTTTGTTTTAAAAGCAGGAGGCAATTCCACAGTAATGCATCACTTCCCAAAGTATTAAGTCTCTTTTCAATTTAACTAAACTCCAAATGGAGGAAGCAAATGGAGTCAGCACATTGGAACATAATGCAAATCAGATATATACAACATTATTTTAAGAGTTCTTACAGTGTTTACCTTTTTATGGAGAGCATGAAATTCACTATACCTCTTTTCAACATAGTGCTTTCTTCCATTCGTTAATACCTCTATCTTAAAAACCTGTAAAAACAATTTAGAAGATTACTGATTCTGACTTAGAACACTATTTCCTGATATCTTAGCTTTGTGACAGATTTCTTTTCTTTAATTATTGTAATTAATTCCACCCCCTCATGAACACCAGAAATAGTGAGATACTGCATGAAAGAATGATTAAATGCTCCTTTAACCAGTTGGTTTTGCAAATACATTTAAGGATTAATATTTGTGGTGGCTAAAAACCCTTCTGTTCCACTGTTACTGTAATGACCAGAAAGTATTTAATACAACAATAACAGAGTAATGGATTTTTTTTTAAAAAAATACAAGACAATTTAAGAATGTTTTTTTTCAGTCATACCCTACAGTATGTTAACAACCATACACATATACAATAACGTGACAGATATAGCATAGTTTGTAGAGCACATGAAATAGAAGCCCAAAGCCCACATTGCAGGTTAATTTCCACATAACCTACATATTCATCTGAAGACTCAGCTGGGCCTGATCTAGTGTTTACCCCATTAAAAAAATATGGTACAGGCTCGTTTTCTTAGCATGATGTGCCTGACAGGTTTTGCAGTAGCCTGCAGAAGGTTGAAAGGCCAGATGAAGAAGCTCTCTAGATCCACTAATTAGTAGCCACGAGCATGACATTTTGTGATTTTCAGGTCACCAGGTCAGATCTCAGGGCAGGTGACAAGGAATACCTCAAAATGCGTGCATGGAAACATAACCCAGTGAAATTGGCAAAGTAAAGCCTATCCACACACTGTACCCACATGTCTCTAACCTTGGATTTATTCTACTATGAAATAATTGAATCCGTTCCAGAAGAGATGCCCAATATGAGCTACAGGAAAGATCTAATACTAGATCAGAAACTTTTCAGACCCTCTGAAAAATGAATTTTGCAGAAGGATTTTTATTTATTTATTTATTTAAAGTTTTTGTATCCTGCCCACCCTTCACAGTGTTTTTAATGAGTCGCCCCTGAACACTTAAAAACAGAGCACGATTTCAGAAAGCTGCCTGTTCTCAATACTGAGATTTAAAGTGGCTTGCAACATTAAAAGACTGTACAATTAAATTATTAATAGAATACAAAATTGTTACAAATATACATAAATATAATTTAAAATTATATAAAACATCAAAATTAAAATGGCAAGAAAATCTATGTAAACAACAAAGGTAGTCCAATGCAATCTCATGGATCCAGAATAAGGTCTGCTTGAACAGAAAAGTTTTTGCCTGTCTCCAAAAACAGAGAAGATGCTGATCCAGCTTCTTGGGACAGGGCATTCAAGGGTCTTGAAACAGCCACTGTGTTCCCACCAAGTGCGACCAAGAGAAAGTTCTCTCCTGAAGATCTTAGGATACAGACAGATCCATTGGAGAAAATTCAACTTCCTCTATCACTGACTCTGATCAACAGAGGGCTTTATTCCCCAGAGAGGTCCGCCTGGTGCCGTCGTTATTTGTTTTTCGGCGCCAGGCTAAGAACTTTTTATTTAAAACTTATTTTAATTGTTTATTTATTTATTTAACTAGGTTTTTTTTTAAAAAAAATTTAGCCGAGAATGCACTGAGGTTTTATTGCACTGGGATTTTATTGTATTGGGGTTTTATTGTATTGTTATTTATTGATGTTTTGTGAGCCGTCCCGAGGCTTTATTGCGATGGGGCGGCATAGAAATGTTTTAAATAAATAAATAAATATTAGCCATAACCAGCACTTTGGTTTGGTTTGGTGCCCAGAAGCAAACTGGGAGCCAGTGGAGCAGCTTCAGCAAAGTAGTTCTATGGTTCCTGTAGTCAGCCCTGTATTACATTAAGTCATGTCATTATTGCTTGCAAAATATCAGTATATTTGCAAAGGATATTTAAATTGCAAAGACTGCAAAAAGAATGCACTTCTGCAGTGTTTTAGCTTTTACCCACAGAAGTAAATGTGCTGTTTGTTTACACGTGAATCTGCACCTTTGTAGTTGCGCCACAAAATTCTGGATGGTTGCTTTTCTCTAAATCATCTGCATTAAAACTTTTGAGTGAGATGACGAATGAGCTTGGGAGGAAGTATCTTTGTTGGTAATACCTGTCTCTATTTCTCTATTTCAGTGAAGTGAGGCAAGACAATGTGAACAGTATCACTCTTTTCTGGTGACTAAATAAGCAAGAGTCTGCTACTTAGGGTTCTATCACCGAAGCACAAGAGAGTAAAAAATATAAAATAAACCTCTGCCAAGAAGGTCAGAATGTGTAAAAACAAGCCTAGAGCCAGATGTTTTGACACCAGATGTCCTGAAAGGGCAGGTACATAACCATGTACGCAAGTTATCAGGAAGTGTCATGTTTTCTGCTATTACATTTTCTGTCACTAATCACTGCAAAAAGCTGAATGTATAAATTCTTTATGCATGATGACAGTGGCAGCTGGTCCTGACTTGAGATGGGCTCAATCTATACTATCAGTGTGCCCTGAGACTGCCACAGTTGCTCTGAAACTGTTAGTGTACGCCTACAACAAAGAGTATTTTATATATAAAACCATTTGCTGGTGTTGTTTGTCTCTCTCATGGTCAGACAACGAACAACAGCAACTTTATTTTTTGTCCTCAACAAATTTGGTGACCCTGACAAGAACCATCTCACTCTCCAGCCATCTATTTGGCTCTACAGCAATGTAGTGTGCACCTTTCATTTGAGGAAGCCTTATCTGGTAGCCAGGATGGTGTACTGGGGATAAGACGTTCATGTCTGAAAAGCATATTCCTTTGTGACTTTTATGCTCCTTTAACTTAAGTAAGATTTAGAAAACATGACTAGTATTTGTTTTTGTTTTGAATACCCAAAGAAGTCTGCAGAGCAGTTAAAAATAATAAGTGAAATTTGCAACTTAATTTGGACAAATGTAACAAAGAATTGTTTGTACAAGCCAGCTGACTAATTAAAATCAAGTGTTTGGGGGAACAGAGAGATTTGATAGATACAGACATGTGGACAGAAAGGTGAAAGTCTAGCAGAATGTATAGAAAGAAGGGGTTTTGTGCAGAATCAAGAGAGACAAGATGCCCCTGCATTTGTAATGAAAGCATGGTTTATGCTTGTTGTGTGACAATTGCTTCTGAAAGTAAGAAAGTGGTTGAAATGGAAAATTAGTTGACGAATGCAGAATGCATGAAGAAATTCCTGAGATTGCTGGCAACAGTCATGCACTGTATGTATTGAAGTTCTATCCAGAATCCATTGGCAAAAATGTCTGAAACAACCTTTTCTGACCAAAGAGAGGGTGTGTGTGTGTGTGTGTGTGTGTTGCTTTTGGATAAGGTTATCAGAGTGAGGCTCCCTTAAGCATCAGATTCACAGATGAAGGCTGAATCAAGACCTTGATTTGGATTCCCAAATTATTCCCAACATATGTTGAAGCTGGTATGGCTTTCCTGAATAGATATAATCAACCTAAGATTATCCCTGTCCTAGTAACATTGTGCTCTGGTTTCTGTAATGCATTCTAGGTGACTCTGCCTTTGAACACCTCTCAGAAATTTCAATGAGCATAAAATATGCCAGCTAGACTGCTGATGGATATAAATCAATCAGAACTATCCTCTCCAGTTTTAAGCCATCATCACAATTCCAAATCTGTCACAGTGCCAGTCTTAATATACAGTTTGGAATAAAAAATAGCCTGTTCATATATGAAACTTCCCAGTTACTGAGATCCTCTGAAAAGGTCATTTTCCGAGTGTCCTTTCCACTTTGAGAGATTAGGCAGATAGCAACCAAAGATCATGCCTTCATGTTGGTGCCTTGAATTTAAAATTTCCTCTGAGGTATATTTACCTGGAACTAATTCACGGGATTGCCAAGTGAAACTGTTTTTATTTTCTCAGGACTTTTTGCTAGTGCTATTTTATTACTTATGATTTTAAATGGCTGTTTGGTTTTCCACTCAATGATGATGATGATGTTAAATACATGTACACATTTACCTTATGAAACACTCAAATTGCTGTGGCATACCCAATCAGGACAGAGATAACAGCATGTGGGGAGGGATTAAACACCTCCCTTCAAGCCATGGTTGAGGAGACAGTTGCTCCTCTTCACCTAAGGTGCTCTGCCAGAGAAGGAAGTATCCACTGGCACGAATAGGAATTCTCTGTCCAAGAAAAATCACAGCCTGAAAGTTGAGATTTTCATGGCAAAGAGGAAAAGTATTTTTAAAAAATACTCCCCCCAAACCAGCATTCCAGTTCTGAACACATGCATCCTAACAAAAAATGTATTAAATGTACACACAGACTTAACATATTATCCAGTTTGAACCTTTTAGCATGCAATAAATAACCTTGTGCAGCATTACATACTGCCTTTTAATGGTATCACTGGCACATGCATCAGATACAACAGATTAGTTCTGAAACAATTTGGCAATCAAACAATTTTAATTTATCTCAATTACTGCAATAATACACACTCAGATCTTAACAAAACCTTTTCTACATGGAGCCAATAGTTAATAGATACAATAATTAGCCATTTAAAACATCCGCTAAAGCCTAATTCATGTCAATGAAGAACAGAATGAACAGCTTTTGGTTTGATATAAGTGTGGAAACTCATATTTTTCCTTGACCATCATGCCAAAAAGATGACTTTTTATCTCACAACTATCAAAAGGCTGGAGAGGAAGCACTGGGGCCTATTAAGTCAAAGCCCTGTTTTAAGAACTCTTCATGGGAAGCCATAACAAAGTCTTTCATGGTTTTTGGATCAATCTGCACAACAGCTGTCTTTGTTTAAAATGCATTTTAACAGAAACCAGTAAGTCATCATATAATAACTCAATTATAATAAAAATAGTGAAGACTATAATACATTAGGGAAACAATCTCTCTCCCAATATTACAGCACAGAAGGGCACTGTTCCATACATATATTTGTCTTCTGGATGTATCACATTATTTGGAACATTATGCCCATACAATGAGCTAAGCTAGGATTTAGCCATA